GGCCGAGACTTACAGTTGAGGGCCTGGGCCCTTTACAGTTGGGCGCGGCCTGAGTCTCAGGACTTGGGCTGTTAGCTGCATCTGCGCAGGGCCCCAGGTAGGTGCGTCGGCTGTACTGCTTTTCCAAAGGCCGACGGCCTGCTTCTCAATGTATCGGCCCGGCTTTGGTGTATAGGTGCCCAGGCACAACTTTCGAGGCCTGGGCCAACTGTATGGCGCAGCTTAGTGAGGCTCGCGCGTTCACTCAACCAACTGACGCGCTGCAAGAGCCTGAATACCCACATATGGAAATGTCGAATTTGGCCTGTGACGAATATGCAGGCCCGCCTTCACTTAGGGCGGGCACTTGGCTTGCTGGGGCCTTGGCCCAGAACAATGTGATGTCTGATAGGGCCACTTGAGGGCTTGTTCCTCACATTCCATCCCCCTTAGCTTCGAAAGTCCGCTGAGATGCTTCATGCTGGTGCCTTCCCCTTCAGTCTTTTCTCATAATCGGCCACGATCCGAGGATCTGTCTTCACAAGGTCCTCCCTTGAAATCCATCGATCTTCCTTCGGATCTGTACGATGCCTGAAATGTACTCTGTATTCCCTCTCAGGTTTGGGAGGTCTTCCCCTGCCAGGTGGCTTAGGAACAGGCGTATCTTTGTGATCCAGGATGTCGTCGACGTCCACTTGGCCATCCATGGTTGGGGGCAGCATAGATCTCCGTGATGGGAATTGTGCTGTCTCAGCGAAAGGTGCAAGCTTGGAGGCGTGAAACACAGGGTAAGTGCGTAAGTGACCAGGGATACAAATGACGTACGAAGGACCATCCATATCATTCCCGACAATGTCCAGGACTTCCCAGGGACCGAAATACTGCGGCATTAGTTTTCTATAGATGCCAAACTCCTGTCCCAACTCACTAGCCTTGACCCAGACGCGTTCCCCTACCTCAAATGTGGACTGTCGGCGACGCTTGTTCTTAGAAGCAATCATGACTTCCTGAGATTTCTTGATATGTTCGACAGTCTGCTGCAGCAGTTTCTCATACTGGACACCAAATTCAATGGTTCCAGGAGTTGCAGCGGTTCGGTTTTCAGGCAGGAGGAAGTCTAGAGCGGATCTAGGCTTCCATCCGAGATGTAGCTGATTGGGACTGACACCGATGGTGCTGTGTACAGCATTGTTGCATAGACTGGCAATGAGAGGCAACTTCTCATCCCAGTCATCCTGGTTGGGCTTGATGTAATGCCTCAGCAGATGCTGCACCACTCGGTTCATCTGTTCAGCCTGCCCATTTGCTTCGGGATGATTCCCAAAAGTCATCTGAAGCTGGCTGCCCATCTATTCAGCGGCCTGTTTCCACATCTCACTAGTGAAACAGACATCTCTATCACTAATGATAGTCTTAGGCAATCCAAAATCACGCACCCAGTTGTCCATGAACAACTTGATGACGTACTCAGTCCTAGCAGTCTCTGGCATGGCGATTAGTCTAGCGTACTTAGTGAACCGATCCACTATGACGAAAATGTGCCTCTTGCCATTCTTGCTGGTCACGAGAGTGTCCATGAAGTCCATGGAGATACTCTGACCCAGACCAGCAGGAATGGGTAGAGGCTTGAGTAACCCAAGCAGAGCTTGAGTCCGCGGCTTGTCCCGCGGACAGACCTGACAGGTCTCCACATACTTCTTCACATCGTCAAGTATGTTAGGCCACCAGAATCATTGTACTAAATTAGCACTAGTCTTCTTATAGCCGAAGTGTCCCATTGCATCGTGGCACTCACCTAAAAATAAACTACGCAAAGTTTTTCTAGATGGAACAACTAACCTCTTAAACCCTGCCTTCTCAAGAAAGAGTAACCCATCCACCATCACAAACTCATCAGTAGTGGCCTTGTCCTTAGCCTGAAGTTTGTTGATGATGTCCATCGTGATGGGATCTTCCTTGTAGGCTTCATCCAACGATCGAGTTACATCTTCAGATAGACCAAACTCAAAAATCAGCGCACCTAGGTAATCTGCCCTCCTAGACAACGCATTTGCAACCTTATTGTACTCTCCCTTCAAATAGTCTAGTTTGAAATCATATTGATCTATGACTTCAATCCAACGTTTGAGTGCATCGGAGAGAACTGGTTGAGTCTTGATCCACTTGAAGGTCTGATGGTCCGTTCTCAAGTAGAAGAACCTTCCTAACAGATAGTGCCTCCAGTGGACAAGTGCCTTGTAAAGAGCGTAGAGTTTCCTCTCGTAGGTGGACTTTGCCAACTTCTTTGAAGGCATCTTTTTGCTCATGTACTCGATCGGTCTCAACTTCTTCCCTTCCTGTTGAGCCAGCACTGCGCCAATMCCATATTGGCTTGCGTCAGTGGTCACAACGAATGGCCTTTCCGGGTCGGGTACCATGAGAACCTCATGRTSCKTGAGAGCATGCTTCAAACGYTTGAAAGCTGCCTCACACTCGTCGGTCCAGTCCCATGGTGTGTCAAGTCGAGTKAGATCAGTCAARGGAGATGYGMTCGTACTATAGTTMTTTACGAAATTGCGGTAATAACCACACATTCCCAAGAATGATYTGACCTCAGTCACAGACYGGGGTCGTGGCCAGTCACGTATGCTGGCCACCTTTGCATCTTCGGGCCTAATACCATCCGCGGATACTTCATGACCCAAGTACAAGATTCGAGTGCGACCGAACTCGCATTTCTCTATATTTATCTTATACTTGTGTTGTCGAAGGAGTGRAAGTACTATGTCTACATGYTGAGCAYGCTCCTCGAYAGATCTACTGAAGATAAGTATGTCGTCGAGGTACACGACAACAAACTTGTCCAAGTAGTCATGGAAGATCCTATTCATGGCGTGCTGGAATGTACCCGGCGCATTGCAAAGGCCAAAGGGCATCACCACAAACTCGTACAGACCATACCTGGTCTGAAATGCGGTTTTGTGCTGGTCCTCTAGTCTTATGGCAATTTGATGGTAGCCGGATTTTAAGTCTATCTTTGTATAGTACTTACACCCCTGCACCTTGTCCAATAGGTCGTCGATGCGTGGTAGAGGCTCTGCATTCTTAACGGTGATGGCATTGAGGCCTCTATAATCAATGCACATCCTTAGTGTTCCCCCTTTCTTTGGAACGAATAAGACAGGTGAGCCATAGGGGGAAGTGCTAGGTCGAATCCAACCCTTCTCTGTGAGCTCTTTCAGTTGCCGCCGAAGTTCGTCCAACTCGGTTGGGGCCATCCTATAGATTCTTCCTTTAGGTGTTTTACTACCGGGGATGATCTCTATGGCATGGACAATCTCCCTATCTACGACTCCTGTAGGCTCCTCGAACAGATCAGGGTACTTGGCGACGATGGTCTCTATCTCTGGGGGTGTTTTAACGGCCTCCCCTTTTGTAGAGACATAGACTAAGTACATTCCTTCCTCTGGAAACTGTTTATAATAGTTATAAAAGGCAGATGCGCATAAGCACCCATAGGAGTCTACTAACCTACTGGCTTTGTATTTGGCCAGTCTCACGGTTCTCCCACTAGGCAACTCGTGCTTCAACACCTTCTTGTCCCAGTCAAACTGGGGCTTGGCAACCTCGAGGTAGTACATGCCCAACAACATGTCAAAGGGCAACTCATCGCTCACCAGGAATGATATCTTGTGATTTAACTCTCCTCCTGGGTAGGAGAAGGTGCAGACTACATCTTTAACGTAGTCCTCCACCATCATGCGCTCTTTGTTGGCCAAAGTAGACGTTACCGGTCTACTAAGGCGCTGCACCCGGTCCTTTAGGCACAGTCTGTCAACGCAGTCGCGACTTATGAAGTTTCGCGTGGAGCCAATGTCTACGAAGGCGCCGCACTTGCGACCACCCACATCAACTTCCACAACGAAGTGCTCCCCTCTAGGACCTCTACTCAGTGCCACCCATGACTCACGAGGGTCCCTTGTCGACCACTCACCTTGAAGGTCCTCTAAGGCTTCAGACACATCCAACGTACAGAGTATAGTTGGGTCCGGATGCGTCTGCGGGGTGACTAAGGAGTCGATAGCTTTGGCCATCTCTTGAAACGGGGAGGGTACATCACCCGTTGTCGGAGGGCGCGCTATTCCGGCCCTCCTTTGTGTGCCAAAGTCCCTGCCTGGTATCTATATCTCGTCCTGCTGCCCGTGGCTTGTTGGAATAGTCTCCGAACCTCTGTAGGCCTGGCACTGGCAATATATCTCAGTATGGACCAGCCCTGATGGCGTTGCCTCAACAAAAAGGTGTGCCACAGGGCTTTCCATTGGTCCACGCAGGCTCGGCGCCCCGCTGTACAGCAGAGCACAACCGGCCTGTAGCCGTGGTAGCCACCGGGTTCGCCCTGGGACGCGGAGGTGAGAGGGCTGGTTCAGTCTTTTCAACTGCACGCCGAGCGCCCCTCTACTGAGTTATGGGTTAGGTGCACTAGGCGGAGGTCACTGTCAAAAGAGAAAAGAAAAGATAATAAAGTATAATAAAACGTCAAGCATGAAATTGTTTAGTTCAGGGGAAATCCAGTGGCTTCAGGCCACTGTGACTTTACGCTTTCTCTTTCCATTTTTGTTTTACGGCTATCGTTATTATTTTTGTTATTATTGCTTAATTTTCCTATTTTCGATTCTCTACCTGTTGGCCTGTCCTTTCGCGGGAAGGCCAACGGTTCGAATTTCGAGCCAGCGGTCTACGGCCTGAGTAGGCCGACCTTGCGTGTACTGTCTGTGGGTGAGCTCCGATCTGGCGCCATGCGGTAAGACCCCAAAAAGAGGGGCGACCCGCAGACGCATCGGTAGGAGGAATATCACCCCCTATAGAGGGTCATAAACCCCCTCCTTGCCATCGGACACAGGTACCCAACAGTAACGGGTCGATGGCGAGTTTTGGAAGTGGAAGTGCGCAAGCTGGTACCCCGTTATGGGACCACCGCTTCAGGGTTGCAGTCACTTCGTGGCAAGGCGAAGCGACAGTGGCCGATAGCAGAAAGTCTGCAGTCGCCGGTGGTTGCTGGGACTTCGCTATTTTTATTTTTGATTCGTTTCTATTTTGTTGTTTTATTCCTTTTATTTAATTATATGGCCAGGTTACTGATGAGCGGAGTCTCAGAGGGTACCTCATTTAGAACGTTGGGGTCACGGCATACAACTGATCGTATAAAAAGGGGGAAGAGGGTCGAGGTTTAGCTATCCAGTGGCTGAATAAGAGGGTGCTGGTGAACTGCTTCGCGGTGTCAACGCACGAGGCCCTTTGCTGTTCCAGTGCCAATCAACCGAGGTGAAGGGGACGGAGGAGCAGGGGTTCAGCGGGTGTCGATAGTTTGTGCCTAGGGCCAAGACTCTGTCTATTCTGAGAGCGACTATGGCGCTGCACGACTATAGGCCTGGTTACTGGTACCATCAGGCCCGGTGGAAGCCTATGTCTGGGGAAGGGCCCTGGATCACAGTCATGCTCAATTACGATGGGGGTGATGAAGTGAGAATCAAGATTAACGTGGAAGAGGCGAAAGAGGTAGAGATGCGGACGGATGGGAAATTGCAAGATGCGATCACGAAGTCTAAAGACTGTGCGGAGAGGCGTTGCATGTCCAGGGACTCAGGTGGGGAAAGCGAAATGAGTGAAGCGGGGGATCGGGAGACGGACCTCAGGTCCTGGAATAGACCAGGCGAGATCTAGAGGCATCTGCGAGCTGCGAAGCCTGTGGAAGAGGGACCCGAGGCCAGCTCTCGACAGCTGACACCCAGAGGCCGCGGGACGGGTGAGAGGCAGAACAAGGGGAAAAGACAGGTTTGAGAAAAACAGGCGGTCGAGGGGGTAAAGAGAACTGAACCCGAAATGGGGAGAGAGAGGCAAGTGTAGTTGCACAGGCACACGCGCGACAGGCGGCATGGCCTGGAGAGTGAGCGGTCAACGAAAAGGGAGATTGTGCAAACGGATGCACGACAATGCATGATGCTCCAGAACTGGGAGGACATGCGCTAATGAGTGGCTGCTAAGCAGAGAACGTGTAGGCAGGCGACAAGAGAGGGGCAAGAGCGGAATGCACATGCAATTGGAAAGACTGACGTCAACCTTGTCTTCTGCGCGCGAAGAATCAGTGAGAGAGGGGAGCGAGCTTGCAGGGTGGTGACATCAACTGTTTCTTGGGAGACACTCGCTCGCTGACAGGTACTGGGGCAAATCATGCAGGCTGGGCGACAAGGACGTCAACGCTGATGCTGCGGATGCTCCTGGCTCTTGCTCTCTTGGCTGTGGTCAGTACTAGCACATGCATGAGGCACTGCACTGGTACGCGGGTTACACGTGGATGATATGGTGGCAGTAAAGGAGAGAAGGTCAAAGAGATGGGACAAGGGGGTGCGGTGCGTGTGCCTGAGATGCGGACGTCAACTCGGCTTCAGCGCGTGGCCAGTTAAACGGAGGAGAGGGTTGAACTCGACGCTTCTTCTCATCTTTATTGGAGCAGACCCACAAGCGTGTGTAACTGTTGATGTCTCTAAGAATAAACTGAATGTGAAGTTTTCGCACACTATGGTCATTTTGTAAGAATACACGCAACCTAGCGGCAATGATAAGGATACCAGAGATTAGCTTGGGCTAACTGTGGGGATGAACTTTCATTGACGACGTTTCCTGAGGTCACGACACATCGTGATGTGAGTGCGCAGTGAGACATGTGGGCTACTGGAGGAAGCGAGAGGGGAAAAGGTTTGGTGACGGGAGAGACGGTGAGATGCAAGAAGGACTGTCCGTAGCCTGACGTAGTGGTCAGGAGAGATGAGAGATGGGAGGCGCAGGTAAACCTCTGAACTGCCTATGCTCGGATGATGCGCACGGTGCGCAAGTTGCTCTTTAGTCATCGTATGCTGTCATGAGAGACAGGAGCCGCTCGTAATCCGAAGGCTGAGAATAAGCAATCGTCAACGGAGGACATAATTCTCTTTCCCATCATCCGCGGACCATTTCCGACCTTTGTGTTTAAATGGCTTGAGCTCGACACCTGTGTGTTGGCAAGCCGAGCTGGCTTCAATGTTGGCTTTTACTAGGCCATAACCTTGCACGTTGCCTGTTATCACTGTAAGGGAGGTAGACTCCAGAGTGTTATTAACAGAATGGCAGGGTGCTCTTCCCTCGGTCGTCATATCCATCGAGCGCACAGTTGAGAAACCCGAGTACTGGCTACAGCGCTGCTCGGATCGAGTGTGTCTCAACCTAAGCCGACAATGTTGTAACTATAGTAAGTCGGTGGGAAGTCACAACAGTCAGGGGATTTTATTTTTTTTTGCTTCTTTCAATTAGTTATCATCATCGGATTCTGGTTCAAGAAAGTGCGGATGATCTGTACGCTGTTGTGTTGATGCTAATAAAGAAATGGGAGTGATGATAGGCTAGAGCGATGACGGTTAGACCTTAAATGGGGCTTTGATCACCAATCGGGATCCGCGTAAGATGAAGGTTTGAACACCCTGCGTATGAGTGCCTCTAATCTTGAATTTGCATCAGATTTGGCTTGCGTGGAAATGTCAGTGAGTGGCGTGATAAATTAACGCAGTTGTGGATATTGTTGAACCTTACTCACCTTGGGACTAAGCGATAGTGTATGATTTTCTCACTAATTCGAGCAAAAGAAAACAAGTCTGATGAGACATGTTATGTCTCCAAGGACAATGGGATTGAGTGAGACTGTACGAGCTGGTAATCATGCAAGTACTAGTAGATATTTGGGTGATTACTGGAGCTTGCGATTCGCCGATTCCTATGGTCTGTAAAGACTCGTGAAGTTTGGGGAGTTGCGACGTAGCTTGAACATGTATATGAAGTCTCTACTCAACCCGTTATTCGTACTTTAATACAGAACATTCTGACGAGATCAGTTTGAATGAAGTTGAGCAATGAGTGGTAGAGGAAGAAAACACCAACTGAGAAAGATAGCCTACTTGATTGCAAAGTTCTTGCTTGATGGGGACTAATTCCCTCATTGCTCAGTAGACGGAGTGTTAACCCTGGAAGTAGATGGACTGAGAAGGAAGTTCAGCAAAGAAAAACGGCCTCTCTAGAACAAGGGAGTTAGTCCTAATACTTGTAATATTCTTGTACTGGCTTGCTGGAAGGAAGCCAGTACCCTGGGCAGAATCTTCCCTCGCTATGTTATGATGGCAGTTTGTAGGAACAACCAGTTACGGAAGTGTGTTTGCCGACTGAGGATAAAGGTTCGAACCCATTCGTAGGGTCTTCCCTGCACTATTGGGGACTTGCATTTACCTGGGAACGAGCCCTCACAAAATAGGGCGGGTCGTGAACTGCTAAAAGTGATAGCGTGCATATCCTATGGGTATGAAATAAGCAAAAATAGGAGGTCCTCAAGTAATCGCAGAACCCACCACTCTAAATTTTATTCAACGGGTACACCAAAGCCCTTCTAAGCCCCTAGTGGGAATGGGCAGACATTCTATGTAAAATGTGTTAGTTTATTCAGGACTGTTTCACTCCGGTTGTCAACTCAGATCGGATCCGGCTGTCAACTCAGATCGGATCCGTTTAACAGTCCGTGAATCTTGGTGGTTGGCAAGTATCTAAAACAGACAAGGGGGATATTGTAGCTGGGTATCTCTCCAAGGCTAGAAGCATGAAGAGGAAACAGTGACCAAGATCGCGGAACCTTATCAGAACTGGATCAGTGAAGTAATTTGTATTGCCTCTGCCACTTGACAGCTAAATAGACAAGGGAAGACCAGCAAATTTACTCACACAGATTGGTCAGTTTCTGAGTGGTGGGATTCAGTGGAGAAATGGGGGACCAGTGAGAGTGGCACACTTTACGATTTTGAGAACTAGTACTTTACGCGCTGTTCAACTAAATGTTCAATCAATATTCAAAGAGCCCGAGCAATCATCAGGGCCTGGATATTACTATTCACGCCGAGGTCGGCTGCTTTTCCCAGTCCTCTGGGTGCTAAAAGCCAGTTTGGTGATCACGCGAACTGAATGGCATTCAGTCAGCATCTAAACGGACTCAGATAAGTGTAAACTGGACTAACTGGTTAAGTTCCTCTGACCCCAAGTCCAGGAAACAGTTCCGTACTTTTTGTGTAAAGTTTACGGAGCTCATCTGCAGTCAATCAGGTTCGCTACTGTACTTGATGTT